CGCAGAGGAGGCCGATCAGGCAGCGCCAGGCCAGCGGGCAGGGGACGCCACGGCCGGGCTGTGAGGATTCCCAGACCAATCCAGCCTGGACCCTCCCCAGCGGGTGGCTCAGCAGGGAGCTTGCCCAGGGGCCTGGGGCCCTGATACAGACAGACAGCGACAGCGATGGGCTCAGCCCAGACAGACACACAAGCGAGCTCTGCGGGGAAGGCCGATCAGGCAGCGCCAGGCCAGCGGGCAGGGGACGCCACGGCCGGGCTGTGAGGATTCCCAGACCAATCCAGCCTGGACCCTCCCCAGCGGGTGGCTCAGCAGGGAGCTTGCCCAGGGGCCTGGGGCCCTGATACAGACAGACAGCGACAGCGATGGGCTCAGCCCAGACAGACACACAAGCGAGCTCTGCGGGGACAGACAGACGCCACGGCTTACCCTGCGCCGGAGCTGGAGCTGCGGTGTCTCATCCAGGGAGCTCACCCTCTTCCTCCAGAAGGCCCGCCCGCACCTGCGCCTTCTCTCCCTCCCAGAGGCTGGAGCGGAGGGGATGAGCTCTCCAGGACACACGCTGGGCCTGCCATCGAGACCCTGGGGGCCGGGCTGGGGCTGGGCAGCCCCGCGGGCGCTGAAAGGCAGCCACGCCCGTTGGGGGTAAACCCGTGTTAATGAGACGTGCACAGCCAGCATTACTGTGACTTGTTGCGTATCTTCGATGTGAGTAAGGTAGTGAATCCACACCTTAGCGCATTTCAGTGTAAATTTCATAAGGTTCTCAGGCTCCTTTGAATTCATGGTCCTGTTTTTAGAGGAATTTGGAGAAACAGTTCCCTGGCTCGTCACTCGTCTGCTTCTCCGCAGTGTCTGGCCGTGGGAGAGACCCACACGGAGCATCGCTCTCCTGCGAACCTTCTGACCCTGCAGTTACTCCCTCAGCTGGACCTCCAGCGGGAGGCAGGGCTCCCCAGCTGTGTCGCAAGGACCGCCCTCGGCCCCCCGCTCAGGTTTGGGAGTGAGCCCTGTGGGTCCTGCCCTGGCCTCCCCACCAGCCCTGCAAGTTGGGGGAGGGAGGAAGTGGGGTTAGGAGGAGGGGAGTTGCTCATCTGTGAAATGGCGATAAAATGCCAAGTTCACTAATTGAATTACGGGATGATGTGAAGCACTGCACTCCGGGCGAGCACCGCGCTGGTGTCGGAATGTCTGCCCGTGTCCTCCGTGGGGGACCGGCGTGTGGAAAGAGGCTTCGACAGCAGAGGGCGCAGCCCGTGGCCTCGCAGCGTGGGGGGTGGTGAGATTCGTCTCGGAGGAACTCTAGGACCCGCCACGCGTGACAGAGGCCGCTATAAAGCCATCACTCTGTTCGTGGAGGTAGGTGTGAATGTGCTCCCACCTGCCACTGGAGCCATAAAGCAAGGCCACCTGCCGGCTCTCGGGAAGCTTGCAACCGACCCTAATCGGGAACGGACAACGGAACCATGAGGCCACTGGAGACTGCCCGTGAGTGGGTTTCCACAGACTGACAGCCCAGCAAGGAGGCAAGGCGCTAGGAGAGAAACCACGGAAAATCAATGTTTATACTTTTGCTCTCATTTATTTGATAAACCAAAGAAGAGTCTAGAAACTTTCAAAATGAGGTGCAGTTCCCAGACCTGGCTGCATGCTCTGTGGGGAAGCCTGCGGGGAGACCCGAACTGCCTGCGCCGAGTCGG